ACATATATATATATAATCAAAATGTTGCTACTCATGAAGATATGTGGTCATACAATAATAAATTAATGTGTCAACATAATATGAGATCTAACACACAAATATATAAAAGAAAAATAGTGAAAGGTGATCGTAATTTTTACTTTGAAAATTTCTAGAAATAAATAAAAAAAACATAAATTATGGCTTAGTCGAAGTAATTCACTATGTAATTCAAAGCGAATATGTCAACTATTCTCATGAATGTGAAAATATTGAATTATAAAATTGAGGTACAATGGTAATTCAACGATGATATTCGTAATGGGTTGCGAATGTTGTCATTGGTTGTTATGATGACAGTAGTTCATCGTGAATATTGTATATGGTGGCTATAGTGTCAGTTTGTCATAAAGGTCGTAGTTGAAACCCGTGACATTAGTTGATTATTTTAGTTGCAGTTGTTAGCTTTACGAGCGATGGTTAGCCACAGTGGTCATAAGAGGAAGTCGTATGACCCATGGACCACGTAGGTCATAGTTGATCGCATATGTCATAATACTGAGCTATAATAATTTTAGTGGGCAACAAGGGCTTGAGTTGGGAGCTACATGGGTTGTGATCCACGTAGGCTGTAGTTAGTCATAAGAGTTGTAGTGATGAGCTGCAATAATGTCTGTAGGCCGTAAAAGTCATAATTGGGAGCTGCATGAGTTGTGAGCAATATATGTTGTAGTTGGTCACATATGTCATAACGGTGAGTTGTAGTAGCGTCAATTGGCTGTCAAGGCTATTGTAAAGGGTTGCAATTGCAGCGAAACATGTAGATCACAAGTCGTAATTATCCATGTATGTCGCAGCTGTGAGTTGTAGTAGTTCCAATCGCCTGCCAAGGTTGTTGTAACAGGTTGCCATTGCAGTGAAACATGTAGGCCGCAGGCCGAAGTGGAGAGTTGTGAGGAGAGAATTTTAGTATGATGGGGAAGGTTATTTGTCGAAGGTGGCAATGGTCAGAGGCGTCGGTTGTTGAAAGTGGCAGCAACCGGAGTTGGCTGAAGGCGGCGATAGCCAGAGTTGGCTGGAGGTTGGAGGTGGCGGCTATTAGAGTTGGATGGAGGCGGCCGCGGTTGGAGTTGGGCTGAGGCGACAGTGGATAGAGTTGGTCAGAGGCAGCGGTTGATGGCGTTATTGGTCGGAAGTGATCACAGATGGAAGCAACGACATCGCCTAGAGGTGCGGAGGCAGACGACAGCGACAAGAGGTTGTAAATATAAAGGAATCTCGACCACTCTTAGTTTGACGACCCAAAGAGAGCCCCTTGATCGAATGTCGTTCAATGGGCATTTTTTTCGCCTTAATGATATCATAATTAAGAGATATTAAGCTTGTTGAATTTTTCTTGCCGAGAAGTTGTATTTGACTATAATTATATCATATTTATGTTATGTTCGACCTTTTAAGTATGCATGAAAATCTTACAAAATTGCTTTAGTGGCTTGATCTGGACTTGATTTGGCTCAAAATAATCCATTTTTGGTATTGTTGAGTCTTTCTCATCGAGCCGGTCTGTTTGACTATAAGTTCGCTGAAATCAAAGTTCAATTTGACTTTTAATCAAACTTTGAATTTTTCTTGCTCTTAAAGTCATCTCGAGATCCGTGACATGACTCAAAATTTATGTCAAATGATAAATTCTTTTTGAAGGTGTATTAATTATAATTTATTTTCAACTAATATATTAATATATGTAGCAATTTATTATGCCCTCGTTTTCAATGACTCGTTGAATCAGCTAAAATTCTTATAATACTTTAATCAGGTTGATTGAGATAATTATTAATGTATAGTTGGGAACATTTCAACACCTGGTGCCACCTATTCATTCGATAGTGGGTCGGCATCTTATTGCCAATTGCTGGCACAAATCTATGG